TGCCCCTGCCATCTGCTGCCAGACAGGGAAGAATGCAGCCTGCATGGCTTCCTTTAAGAGCTATCAGAGCTATGTCCTGGTACAAGAGTCCTGAGGCACAGAAGGTCCCACCCCTTTGCCTCTCTGGATCCCAGAATAGGGCTAGAGTTCTCCTGTTCAGCCCTTTTCCCACAAAGAGAACCTGATCTCTCGGTTTTCAAAACTGAAGGCCCTTAAAAAATATATAAAAATAAAAAATAAATCACACATTTAAACATTTTTTTGAAGGCCCTAGAAGAGGCAAGACAACTTGTTTTTTTGTTCTTTTTGGTACCTTTTTCTTAAGTACCAGGGATTGAACCCAGAGGTGCTCTACCACTGTTACATCTCCTTTTTATCTTGAGACAGGCTCTCACTAAGTTCCTGAGGGTCTCGCTAAATTGCTGAAGCTGGCCTCAAATTTGCCTCCTGCCTCTGCCTCTGGAGTTGCTGGGATTATAGGTGTATTCCACCATGCCCAGCTCACAGGCAAAGTTTTTGGACTGGAGGAAATCTGTTACCTATTAACCCAAGACCCTATAACACAATCAAGCAAGACCCCCTCCCCTAAATAATGGGGATTAAATCCCTGGGTGCTTTATCATTGAGCTACATTTCTAGCCATCCACCTATTTTTAGGGGCGGTACAAGGATTGAAATCAGGGGCACTCGACCACTGAGCCACATCATCAGCTCTATTTTGTATTTTATTTAGAGACAGGGTCTCACTAAGTTGCTTAGTGCCTTGCTTTTGCGAAGGCTGGCTTTGAACTTGTGATTCCCCTACCTCAACTTTCAGAGCCCCTGGGATTACAGGAGTAGGCCACCGCACATGATTCCCTCTTGAGACAGGGTCTTGCTAAATTGCCCAGGCTGGCCTCAAATTCACAATCCTCTTGTATTAGCCTCCTATTAGCTGGGATTACAGGTATACCGACATAACTTGACTTGGGATCTTTTTAATCAAGTTTATAGGTTGTTGTTCCCAC